GCTGACCCATGAACCAGGAGGTCTCAGTTTAGTTCCTGGTCAGGCCACATGCCTGGGTTTGGTTTCAGGCTTGATCCCCAGTAAGGGGTGTGCAGGAGGCATCTGATTGATGATTATCTCTCATCACTGGTGTTTCTATATCTCTCTCCCTCTCCCTTCCTCTCTCTAAAATCATTTAAAAAAAAACTTAAAAAAAAGAAAAAGAAAAAGAAGAGCAAGTACTAATTACACTCCTGGAGGCTTCTCTCTTACAACCAAATCACATCCCAAAGACCCCACCTCCAAATCTCCAAATACCACCACACTGGGGATTAGATTTCAATATATATATTGGGGGGAGGGGAGGGGAGGACGGGCAGACATAAACATTCAGTTTATAGCAGATATCAACCATTAAGATAGCTATTATTATTAAAACAAACAGAAAATGGCAAGTGTTTGGGTCAAATAAAACTGGCTATTTATATTACCTTTTACTGTTGATTGCATACCACCCTATTACATGAGTAGAATTCACTGATTATTGCCCATTTATTACTGGAAGGGCGAATCCAAAGAGTGATCTATACGCTCCCCCAATGAGGGCCTTGGAACCCTCCTCCCCAGGAAAGCTCATTCCCAGGCAGGTGGCCATGTCTGCAGGCCAGTGCCCCAAGGAAGGCTGTGGCTCATGTGGCTCCCATGTGATGACTCGGCAACCACCAGCTCACATTTCCTCTAAGCAACAAAGTCAGGCCCAAAGACAGTGCCAGAGGGCCCAAAAAGGGACATGTTCTCATGTCCGAGTCCCTTCAGGGAACTCTTCAAAACTGAATAACAAAATATGATCCCTACCTTTACAATCTCATTTCATGTAAGTTTCTAAACTGCTGTTCTTTAAACTTTTATATTTTCATCTGTTAGTTTTAGTACAGATGTTAGTAAAATATATGTACTCAAATAAATCTGGGGGGAAATTAATATATGCTCATATAGTTCATATAAGGGAAAACAGACACGTTGGGTGAAGAAAATCAAAATCTGTACTCAAAATGCCACCACCCAGACAAAACTGCTAGTGATGCTCTGGTGTCTTTTCTTCTAGTATTTTCTTTTCCTCTGGCTTCAGTGCCCCTTGCCTTGACAAGCCACATGAGATGGCTCAAGTCATGATCTAGGATATGACAGGGTCTCTGGTAGGAGCCCTATCTCAGTGGTCTCAGGAGAAGCGGGGGCTTGGGCCATGTCAGCTCATGGGTCAGTCCCTGCTGCATCCAGCTCCTCCAGAGCTGTCCAGCCCCTGTGGTCAGCATGGCCTCCTCATCAGCCCCTCAGGAGCTGCCATCATGCTATTCATTCCTGAGAACCACTGGCATAAGTTGCTTGGCAACAGACATTTAAATGGGGGCTGGTGGGAAACGGAAAGGAGTGCATGAGCAGGACATGCCTTTGAAGTTAGATATCAGAATTCTGAAAATTCAGGCTTCCTCCAATGCAGACGTTTCCCCGGCCACATCCCTCCATGGCCCCAGCTTCCTACCACACTGCTGGTGCCCTGCCTGCTTTCAGCCTTTCTTTGCTGTCTCTCGTCTTAGGGCCCTTCCCCCAGGATCTGGAGCTCAGTGAAGAAAACAGAAACCACTCTAGATATTATGTGCATGGAAGAGTTTTTTTACATGATGCATAATTTACATTCCATGAAATACATCAATGTTAAATGTGCAATTTGATTAATTTTTATCCAAGTAAATACCTGTGTGACCAGCGCTTTGATCAAGATCTGGAATATTTCCAACTCCCCAGAAATTTCCCTTGTAATCCTTGTTTATTAATCTCTACCCCCAATCATTATTCTGATTTCATCACCACAGTTTAGTTTGACCTGTCCTTGAATTTAATATAAATGGAATCAGATAATATATACTATTTTGTGTCTGGCATCTTTCACTCAACATGTTTTTGACATCCATGTATGTAGTTGCATGTATCAGGAATTTGCTTTCATGCTGAGGCATAGTCCATTATATGAATACTAGAGGCCTGGTGCACAAAAATTTGTGCATTCGGGGGGTCCCTCAGCCCGGCCTATGCCCTCTTGCAGTGTGGGACCCCTTGGAGGATGTCCACCCCAGTGGGGACCCTCACCCCATGGAGGTCTGGCCAGCCTGGGTGAGGGGCTGATGACTTTCAGGCTGGCTACACCCCCTTTAGGGTGAGGGGTCCCCACTGGGGTGCCTGGCCAGTCTGGGTGAGGGGCTGAGGGCCGTTTTCAGGCTGGCCAACCACCCTGGTGACGTAAGCTCCCAGCCTCTCCTTTATTTTTTTTTTATTCTGGGATTTATTTACCTTCTATAATTGAAACTTTGTTGCCTTTAGCGGAGGCCTGCGGAAAGCTTGGCTTCCTCCATTGCCAGGGGCAACCCACTCCTGCTCGCTCCAGCTCCGTGGCTGCCAGCCGCCATCTTGGTTGTGTTAATTTGCATATAGTCGCTCTGATTGGCTGGTGGGCGTGGCTTAAGGCATGGTGAAAGTACAGTCAATTTGCATGTTTGTCTTTTATTAGTATAGGATATCACAATGTGTTTATTCATTCTATATTTTAATGAACTATTTGGGCTTTTCCAGGTTCAGGCTATTAGGAATAAAACTGTATGAACATTCACGTATGTCTTTTTGTGGAGTTACGCACTTATTTAAAAAGTGCTGGACAATAGGGTAGGGCATGTTTAGCTTTATTAGAAGCTTTCAAACATTTCTGCGAAGTGTTTGTACCTCTTTACACTCCTACCAGCAGTATATTTATTGATGGTTCAAGGTGCTATAGTCCACGCCTCTTCTTCACCAACACTTGACATAGTCAGTTTTTTCACAGGAAGGAATTTAATATAGGAAGTTAGTTGGTTGCAAAATTGTGAGGGGGCTGGAGCAGCCGGAGTCAGGAGGCTGCTATCGCAGTAACTGACTTCGAGAGCACATCACCGTAAAACCGTGGTCAGAAGTGAGGGGGACACTGCTGTCACCCCCGGCTCCACAGAGCTCTGTCTCAACATCTGGTTGATACAGGAATACTGAGTCTGGCTGCTGAAACTGGCTCTAGAGCCTCACATCTTTGTGTCCTTGCTGTCAGCAGAAGATGGTCTCTAACCCCCAAACCTCTGATGGGGCACCTAATTGTCAGACCTTGGTGTATAGTCATAACTCTAGCTGCAAAGGAGTCTTGGAAATGTAGTTTTTTTTCTTTCCAGCCTCTGCAAAAGATAGGAAAGCACCCTGTAGGGAAGGAGAGGGAGCCAGCTGTATCAGTTGGCTTTTAAAAATATGTATGTTTTATTGATTTTTAGAGAGAGGGAGGGAGAGGGATAGAAAGATAGAAGCATCAATGAGAGAGGAACATCATCAATTAATCGGCTGACTCTTGCACGCCCTACTGGGGATCGAGTCCGCCACCCGGATATGTGCCCTGACCAGGAATCAAACCGTGACCTTCTGGTTCATAGGTCAACACTCAAACACTGAGCCACTCCGGATGGGCTAATTTTTAATGTAAGCAATAACACTGTTATTTTCTGAGAATTCGTTCTTGTTCTCTGCTGTTCCCGTCTTTGCTTTATGGGAGTGATATCTTCCTGAATCTAATTACTGAGAATAGTAATTAGCCCCCCCACACCCTTTTTAATTTTAATTTCATTTTATTTACCATCCCCTTTTTAAAATAATTCTCTCATGTCCCCTGCATGGTTTTCCTCTGAAACCATTTTTATTGTTTTTTAATTTAGTTTCGCTTTCCCCAGATGTCTGGTGAACTTTGCATTAAAAATGAGGCAATAAAAAGCACTGAGGAAGTTGTGTGTACATCTCCTGGATAGCTCCCTTTCAGGGTGTCCATGTGGGGGACTCACCCGTAGAAGAGCCTCTACAGGCTGGAAGAGGAGGGTTTTCATACATGGGGCTGTTCTGTTTCCTTAGATGAGTGTGGTGCTTACCCTGCCTGGTTCAGGCCAGTGACTCCTTGGGGCTGTCTGGTAAAATCTAGAGGCCAGAACAATGTGGGTTTTTTTGTGTTTGTTTTTTTTTTTTTGGGGGGGGGGGTTGTTGTTTTTTTAATCCTCAATCAATAGCTACCCTCAAAGGAGGCACATAAGGAGACAGAGGTGTTGAGGCAGACAAGAGGTAGAGACCTCCGGAGGCCTCTTGGGGGCATCCTTAACCATGAAGGCTCAGACACCCAGCTCAGGGCCACACTCAGAGGAACGGATATGCATTAATTCAATTCACAGAAATGGAGGGTGAAATTGTTACTGGGTTGTGCCACATTATTAATCTTTAAACTTACATTAACTTTCTTGTATTCTCCCCGACATATCCTCTCACACAAGGAGACTGAACTCATCAAGAGAAGACAGCTAAGCCTGCAGACTACAACAAAGAAACCGGTCTGTGCCTTGGCCAGATGGCTCAGTTGGTTTGAGCGTCGTCCCATACACCACATTGATCGTCCCATACACCACATTGATGTTTCTCTTCTCTCTCTCTCTCTCTCTCAATCAATCAAAGCATATCCTTGGGTGAAGATTAAAAAAAACACTGGTAAGCACCGGAAAAATCCAAGATGGCATCTGAAACCCCTTCCCATGTAACCTTTGACAAACTTTCCTTCATGCCCAGGGATGGAGACTTAACATTAAAATGATACATGCAATGTATGGCTAGGCCTGTTCCAAGCATGCTTGGGAACTGTGCATGCTCCCTTGGCAAGCTCAGAACCCTCCACCCCTCCTTGGGAATCTCTGTCCCTGAACCTGCCTAACTACTCCCCCACGAAAGCCTTTAAGACTTTCCTAGGGGAGGGAGGGAACAGAGGTGGAAGAGGGCATAGAGGAGATTAATGGTGATGGTAAAAATAAAAATAATAAAATAAAATAAAAAAAGACTTTTCTAACTCTCCAGAATTGGGGAGAAGGGATCTGTTGAGCACAACTCGTCCTTCTCAATTCCTTGGCCAAAGAATAAATTCTCTGATCTACTTTACAGAACAGTTTCATTTTATTGGCGCGAGCAACACTAAGCAGAACCACCACGATCTTGGGTCCCTGTCCTACAGGGGTCAGTGACAAAATCATATAGTTGGTGCTTTTAATTCAAAATGAGAAAGATAACATCATCCAGGCCAGATTTCTTGCACCCAGCCGATGGCACCTTCTCTCCCTGCGGATGAGGGAAGCGCATGATTATCTTGAGGCTGCTTGGCAAGCATGGACTGAGCCCAAAAGGACCTATAGAATCCCCCTGAATGACTGACATATTTGTGAACTGTGGTGGAGCTGAGTCTCAGACTCCTTTTGTATTGTGATGACTGTGGGTTTGGGGAAAGAACATGGGCCGAGTTCCAGGCAGCTGATCCTCACCACTCCAGCACCACCCTAGCACTCGGAGCTGGTGCACTGTAGAGGACTGGCGGATGGGAATGGGAGAAAGTGGAGTCAAGGACGAGAGGGGCTGCCCTTGGTAGCAGTCTGAGTAAGTCATGAGGCACCTCCAGGCACAGACTGTTCTGTGATTCTTCACCTCTACCTTCTGCCCTGCCCCCTTTTCTGCCAGCTTGTCCCATCCACTTGTCCTGGGTGTGGCAGCACACCAGAGCTGGGAGCAGGCTGGGTAGGAGGTAGATGCCAAGTTTTACCAGGTTGTGTGTCTGAACATCCTAGTCCTTCCTCAATGCCCTCTCGCAAAGTCCCACGCAGTGAGGGGTCAGCGGGGCCAGGCAGCACTGAATTCCTTCTCCAGACTCTGGACAAACTGGTCATTGAGGAAGAGCAGCTGACCGTGGGGCAGGAAGCGGGTGAGGATGCCCTCGATTCGGTCAGCCCGCAGCAGGAGGTTGGTGCCGGGGGCCAGCAGCCGGAGGTGGTCGAGGAGGAGGCGTGCCAGCAGCCGAAGTGTGTTCTCTGCCAGCAGCAGGTTGTCGTGGGCATCCAGCACCAGGGCAAAGCCTAGGGAGAGCACTCCCAGCCACACCACTGTCCGAGGCTCCCGGAAAGGGTCCCCTGCCGCCAGGCGGAAGGCCCCACGTGGGGCCTCGTGCAGGGGCATCGGCTCATCTGAGGGCTGGGGCTGCAGATCCGTGGGCGGCCTGCCGGATGCCTGCTGCTGCAGCCGGCACATGGACTCCACCTGCCTGGGGAGAGTGGGTGGGTCACCGACTTCTGTCATCCTCCTGACCATCTGTGGAGCTGGGAGCTGCCACTGTCCCCATATCTCAGATGTAGAAACTGAGTCCCAAAGAGACTAAGTGACCTGCCCAGGGCCACAGAGAAGGAAGTGTGAGCTGGAACAGAAATCTAGACTCCAGCCTCCAGGCCCTGAACCACTTCACTCAGTGTGGCCAAGAGAAGGCAGATTTTGAAAAGAATTCCTTGGGCTGAAAAAGGGCACCAGGGGAAGAAATCCTGACCCATCTGCTTCCTCAACATAAAGAAAAGGAACCAATGAGAAGCCACGTCTAACGTGGGCTGTCCAAACTCTCCACCCACTTTCCCTCCTGCAACCCTCTCCAGATGAAAAAGAAAGATCTTTCTCTTGGCCATCCAGGCTTTTGAAGGCACTCTCTCATTTCTCCTGAACTGCCCTCCAATTTGGGCCATGCACAGGCTGGTGGTTTTCTGTGCCACAGAAGGGGGCAGAGGTCCAGAGGAACCAGAGGATGGCAGAGGTCTGACACCAGGTTGTCTCAGAGTGTTAATCCTCCTCCCAGAATGCACAGAGACCAGGTTTTGGCACCCACTGACTCAGTCTGGGATGGGAAGGTCCAAGCCCAGGCACTCCCACTGGAACAGTGTTTCCCAAACTGTACTCTAGATCCCAGGCTTTTGGAAGGCTCTGAGCATGAGGACTTCCTTTGCACCGTATTCTCTCTCCTACTTGGAGATGTATAAAGCCTACGGGCACAGTAAAGGCCCTGAGAATTCTTGCACTGCAAAGCATGTCTAATCTATACTGGTGCTCGCTGCCTACAGTCAAATCCCACCTCTATTGCCTTCTAGCTGCATAACCTTGTGTAGGTTACGTTCCTTAAACTCTCTCTACTTCAGTTGACTCATCTGTAAGGTGGGGATAATAACTGTACCTATGAGTTCATACACATGAAATGCTCAGAACATAAATGCTTAGCACATATTTCAGGTTCAATAAATCTTAGCTATAACAATAATAAAGGCATTAATGCTTTCTTTAACCCTTTTTCACATAACACTTGTGAACAACTATAAAAGACTCTGGAAAATGCAACTCTAAAACTTCCTCTCTGATTCTTAGTCCCCCTGTTTCTTGTGCTCCCCAGAAAACCTATCACAATTAGGCATGTATTCAATGAAGTTGTGGGGCTGATACCATTGTAATTAATCCAGTTATTAATTAGCAGGAAAGGAGCAGGGGGATGGCCAAATGGTAAGAGCATGCCATTTGTGCAGCTTTGCCAGGAAGCTGCAAAGCCACCGGTCTATTCCCTGCAGATCTCTGGGGGAAGAGTCTGTACAGGGGAGGAATAGAGCATGCCCAGTAAAGTATAGGTGACATAAAGTCTAGTCTGTCAGTTACAGCTGGGAACAATTCATTGGCCACTGCAAGCACAGGAAGATTTAAGATAATTAGCTCCTGCCCTAGCTGGTTTGGCTCAGTGGATAGAGCATCGGCCTGTGGACTGAAGGGTCCCAGGTTCAATTCTGGTCAAGGGCACATGCCCGGGTTGCGAGCTCGACCCCAGGTGGGGGTGTGCAGGAGGCAGCCGATCAATGATTCTCTCTCATCATTGATGTTTCTATCTCTCTCCCTCTCTGAAATCAATAAAAATATATTTTTTAAAAAAAAGATACTTAGCTCCTACACAAAGGAGTTCCCTCTCTGTCTCTCGGTTCGCTCGGGACTCTTGTTGCAGGGGATTTGCTCCTTGGCTCCCCTGCATTTGCCCACGTGGTTCACAGCCATGTGGACCCCACCCACAATGGACTAATGGACTGTAACTAGCCTAATGCTGTGAGGGACCCAGCGCCACCATGGAACGGAAACTCTGGACACTGCCCTTGCTTCTAGCTCTGCTGAATCCCCAGCTGCATCTCTTCCCGGACTGGATGAAGGGAAATGGGATCTTGGGAATGCAGGGATGTAATTCCACGTAAATGAAAATTACTCATCCTCCTGGGCGAGCCTCAGAAAATTATTTTTGTCAAGAGATCCTAAGGACCCATCCCCCAGCACCCAGTGAGGAAAGGGATCCCCCACTTCCACCAATAACAGAGCTATACTAGGTTATGTGGTTACCTGGCCACAGCCAAAATCTGCTCCTTGCAGAGGAGCCTGTCCCTCTCAGCACCGTGTGGTCGTGGGTCATCAGGTGAATTCTCGGCACCGAAGACGCAGGAGTAGAGCACTCGGCAAAGGCCCTCCTCTGCCTGTGGGGCCCTCAAGGTATGGATGAGGAAAGCGTGGACCATGGCTCCAGGGTGGGTGCTACAGGGAAGCCAAACACCTCAGTGAGATGAGTGTGAAACCCCCATCAGGGGAGGCAACCACAGAAAGGATCTGGCCCAGCAAGGTCTGGAAGTCTGTATGGAGGCTGGTGTGGCTGGTCACTGGTCCTCCTCAGCCACCCAAGCACACCCCCGGCCTCTGAATAAGTCTGGCCAGCACCACCTCTGCCCATAACAGCCTGGGGGTGAAGAAATCTGACAATCTCAAATTCAGTTCTACTAAACAACTGGCCAGGAATCTGCAAAAGTGTCCAAGTCATGAGAGTCAAGGGAAGCTGGAGAGCTGCTCCAGACTGAAAGACTAAAGAGATCAAAACAGTTGAAGGCAAGGTATGTTCCTGGATGGGATTCCCGAGCCAAGAAAAAGGCAGTTTCAATAAAGGGCATTATTAGGACAACTGGAAGCATTTAAATATAGACTACATGTTAGATAACAGTCTTGATCAATATCTCCTGATTTTGAACACTGGGTAATGTCCTTCTTTGTAGAGAATACACACATACTGGGCCGGTGTGGCCGGTATGCCTCAGTGGTTGAGCATGGACCGGTGAACCAGGAGGTCATGGTTGGATTCCCGGTCAGGGCACATGTCCAGGGTTGCAGGCCAGATCTCCAGTAGGGGGGCGTGCAGGAGACCGCCAATCAATGATTCTCTCTCATCACTGATGTTTCTAACTCTCCCTTCCTCTCTGAAATCAATAAAAACATGTTAAAAAGGAAATACACACTGATATACCTCTAAACATAGAGGTAAAGGGGCATCACATCTGTAACTAACTTAATTATCACGGGGGATACGGGAGTTCTTTATTTTTTTAATCCTCACCCAAGGATATTTTTTCCATTGCTTTTCAGAAAAAGTGAAAAGGAGGGAGCGGGAAAGAGACAGAGGGGAGAGAGAGAAAACTTTGATGTGAGAGAGATACATCAATTGGTTGCCTTCCCATGGGCCATGGGTGGGGGGGGGGGGGGCGGGGAGGCACAGATCCTGCCACTCAGGTGTGCCCTTGGCCCCGAATGGAACCTGCGACCCTCCCATGGGCGGGTCCACACCAGGGGCTGGTAGGTGCTTTAACCCCTTTAGAGTCACACCGGCCTGGGCACGGGAGTTCTTTCCTTAAAAATTCTTAAAATGTGAGATTTCAAAATAAAGACTAAATAATGATGATGATGATGATCATGATGGTGTCTGAGTGGCTCCATAGCCAGCCAGGGTTCAAAGGCAGGGGGTACACAGTATGCAGATATTTGTAGTTAAGTATAAATAGACCATCGATTTTTTTAGTTTTCTTATTCTTATTTTTAATATATGTTTACTTTTTATTTGTTTTGTTTTAAGAGAGAGAAACATCCAAACATCCATGGGTTGCCTCCTGCACGCTCCCTGGGGATGGAGCCCACACCCCAGGCATGTGCCCTGACTCGAAATCCAACCCCTGGTTCACGGGTCAGAGCTCAACCACGGAGCCACACTGGCTGGGCAACATCTTCGACTTAATCTGGTCAGACAGGAAGAAGGTTCGCGAAGGCGCTCTCAGAACCGGAGTCGGCTGACCTCCATTGACCTTCTAACCAGAAGAAGAACGCGTCATCAGCCCTCGCCACGGCGTTTCCTCATAGACAAAAGGCAGCAGCACAGACCCTTGACGTCACTGCCTCGCGCAACCCTGCAGCCCAGTGCATTCTGGGGGTTGTAGTTCCTTGCTCCAGCCGGCGAGGGCTAAGCGGGGGTACCCTCTCGTGAGTATGCTACCCGTTCAGCCCCCTGCCGTTGTCCTCGAGGCGTCGCACTTACCCTTCTTTCTGCTCCCGCAGGCTTCCAACAGGCCGCTTCGCTGGCGGGGGAGCAATGGCGGCCGCGCGGCCTCTAGGCGCCTGCGCACCCGAGTCGCGGGCGCGTGCACGGGGGTGACGGGCGCAGGGTGCGGTGCTCCGTACGCCAGGCGGGGGCGTTCCAGGCGCTCCCACTTCTGGACATCCGGCGCGGGCGACTTTCCTCCTCCCACGTAAGACTCCGAGCTCCGAGCTCCCGGCGTTGCCCACGCCCGTCTCTCCTGGACCGGGTATGCAGGGTTCGTCCACTGGCTCCGGTGGCCGCGAGGGGGCGCAGCGACCCGGCCCGTGGACCTTCAGGAAGAGGCGGAGGGGGGGGGGGGGGCGAGTCATCGCCGGAGGGCGGGGTTCCACCCCCATGGTCTCTGCCAGCACTGTGAGGCTGGCGGGACCTGAACGTGGAGCCCGAGTTCTCAGACAGACCAATATGCGTGGGAATCACTGGGGCGTCAGATAAAATGCAGATCGGTGGTTGAGCGTGGACCTATGAACCAGGAGGTCATGGTTCGATGCCCGGTTGGTGCGGGTTGCAGCTGGATCTCCAGTGTGAGGCGTGCAGGAGGCAGCCAGTCAATGATTCTCTTATCATTGATGTTTCTATCTCTCTCTCCCTCTTCCTTCCTCTCTGAAATCAATAAAAACAAATTTTTTAAAACTGCGGATTCCTGGAAATTATGACTTGGGGGAAATACGCATATTTGTGCGGTTTGGGGGGTGACCCTGGGTTGTGGTTCCTGCAGTGGGTTAAAACTAGGGCTCCGTTTGGAGTAGAATGATTCAAATTCTGGTCCCAGCCGTGTCGCCAGCTGTGTGTCCCTGGCAGGTCAGTCACTTCCCAGTGAAGTCCATAGGATTTAGCAGGCTGACCAGTCTTCCTTTCACACTTCCACCTCTAACAAGCTCCCTCCTTGTCATCAGAGGCATAGTGAAGAGGCTTATACCTTAAACTTGAAAGGAACACAACGCAGTGCCAGCTTCCAGAGCCCCAATGGGGTAAAAGCCCCAGTGGGGGCTTGGCCGAGAGGTGTTTGGGGCCTCACAAGGTGTCCTGGGTCTCAGTGCCCGCCTAGGGTGCTCTCCACCGCACAAATACTCCTTTTCTTTCTTTCTTTTTTAAAATATATTTTATTGAATTTTTACAGAGAGAAAGGGAGAGGGAGAGTTAGAAACATTGATGAGAGAAACATTGACCAGCGGCCTCCTGCACACCCCCTACTGGGGATGTGCCCACAACCAAGGTACATGCCCTTGACCAGAATCGAACCCGGGACCTTTCAGTCTGCAGGCCGATGCTCTATCCACTGAACCAGACTGGTTAGGGCCACACTCCTTTTCTTTACCTCTTGATATGTGAACTGCTGGAGCCTCCCCAGATGTGTCCCAGTGTTCTATTTCTCAAAACCAACACATACCCCCCACCCCCCACCCCCCCTCAGCCTGGAAGGCTCTTTCCTTTTTTATCCTTCAACATGTGCTCAGACCAAAACTTCGGGAAGCCTTCCTATCCAAACAACCCCTTAGCCTTCAGGTGCCCCTTTTGCACCCAGGGTCAGCCTATGGTAGTGATGTCCCTGATGGGGATCCAGCCTGATATGGTACTCAGCTAGGGCCATGCACAAGGGAGGCCTGGAGCCAACCCAAACACAGTCCTTGACAACTGAAAAAATGAAGGACAGGGCGCCAGGGCCTTCCAAAGGCACTCTGGGCCCTTCTGCCTCTAGGCCTGGGCAGGGGGCCACTGAAGGGAGCCTAGAGGGGTGGGCAGGGCATGTGGATATTTTGACCACAAGTACAACACACAAACTTATTTGTGGATGGAGGGCAGGACCAGAGTGTGGGGCCTCAGCCTTAAGGCTGGGGTGATGTTGGCTCAGTTCCTGATCCCAAGTCCCTATCACTCTCAGCCAGGACTCATGTCTGCCAGCTGATTACAGCAGAGAGCTGGCAAAGGGCTCTGGTCACTGGGGGCCACCTGGCATCCAGACTACAGTATTCTGGCCTCTGTCTACTCCTCAGGCAGTGAGTCCAGTCCAAGTCCCAGGCCACTGGGGGGCCGGCCTGTGTGAGGTGCATGGAGGAAACCGCAGGGAGCAGCTGGCCTGAACCACTATGCTGAAGTCAGTGGGGGACCCAGATGAGGTGGTGTCCAGATAAGTGGGGCAGTCTCAGGTGCCATTCCTGACTTTTTACCCCTCAGCCAGCTTATGCCCCCGAGATCAAAAGCCATGTGCTCCCTGGCCAGTGTGGCTCAGCTGGTTGGAGTGTCATCCCATACACCAAAAGGTGGCATGTTTGATTCATGGTCAGGGCACAGACCCAGGTTGAGTTTGATGCCTGGTCAGGGCAAGTTTGGGAGGCAACTAATGGATGTGGCAATGTTTCTCTTTCTCTCTCTCTTTCCTTCCCCCCTCCCTCCCTTCCTTTCTCTAAAATTGATTAAAAACAAACAAACAAACAAAAGTAGCCACAGGGGTACGACTCGTTAAAAAAAAAAGCCACCCAACCAGTGTGGCTCAGTGATTGAGCATCGACCCATGAACCAAGAAGTGACTGATCAGGGCACATGCCTGGGTTGCAGGCTCCAACCCCAGTAGGGGGCGTTTAGGAGGCAGCTGATTGATGATGTTTTTCTCTCATCGATGTTTCTATCTATCTCCCTTCCTCTCTCTCTCTAAAAAAAATCAATAAAAGCATATCTATATACATAAAAGCCTAAGTGACTGTTATGACCGAACGACCAGAACAACCAGTCAACCAGTCACTATGACGTGCACTGACCACCAGGGGGCAGACGCTCAATGCAGGAGCTGCCCCCTGGTGGTCAGTGTGCTCCCACAGTGGGAGTGCTGCTCAGCCAGAAGCTGTGCTCATGGCTGGTGAGCGCAGCTGTGGCAGCAGGAGCATCTCCTGACTCAACAGCAGCAGGGAGCTGGGATGAGCACAGGCAGTGCAGCACCAGCACCGGCTCGGGCTCCTCCTGCTGCTTGGCGCACTGCTACATCCCCCGAGGGGTCCTGGATTGTGAGAGGGCACAGGCCAGGCTGAGGGACCACTCCCCTTCCCATGCACGAATCCGTGCACCGGGACTCTAGTTTAAAAATAAAAAGCCATGTGCACCCCCTGGCAATGGGCAAGGAGACACCTGATTGCTGGTGTGACTCTTATATCAGCCAGGGGCAGAGCAGATGTACAGTCCTTAGTTCATCCTAGCTTGATGCCTATGTTGGTGGCCAGAGCTGTTTCATGCATGGGACACATAAAAAAAACACAAAACAAAAAGAGCCATGTGCTGAGGACAGCGAGGCAGGAAAGAGCCTGGGTCGCTGAGACACACACAGCCTTCTTGCCGAGTGAGGAACACACACTTCGGTTTTGTGAAACTGCTGTGTGGGGCTTCTGTTACATGCAGCCTATCTCCTTCCCAGGTGAGGCAGCAGGATGGAGCTTGGCGTGCAATAGGCACTCAGTAAATCAATACATTTTGGCAACTATTAATCCAAAGGCAGAACAGGAAAGCAGAGCTAAAGCAGCTGGGGCCTTCTGGGCTGGTGGCAGCCCAGAGCAGGGGGGTGGATAGGCTGAACTTCCCAGTTCTTCGTGGGGTTATAAGGCCTCTGAAGTGATGCGGGCAGTGTGTGTGCATGTTTATGTGTGTGAGGCTTTCATAGTGATTACCCTAGAGATTGAGGTGGGGCCAGGCCCCCAGTTAATATGTAGCGATGTGGGTTTGCGGGATAGGCATAGATGGGTGTGTGTGTGACAGAGACAGACAGACAAGAGAAGGAAGAAAAGTAAAATTAAATAAAGCACAACAAAAAAATTAAAGGAGCCTGAAGGAAGCAGACAGATGGCTGGATTTGAGGCCTGTCCCACCTGCCTAAATGTGACTGGGGGACAGGGGGCATGGGCACAGCTTCCTGTCATTTTCCCTCCTCTCCCTCTGGCTGTGGGCAGAGGGGACTATAGCCTCACTCCCCAGCCCTGCTCTTCTCAGTGGTCTTCTGAGTTTGGCGGAGTGCCTACAGACCCTCACATCGGCCCCTTCCCCACATCCTGGCCTCCTCTGCTCTCCACCCAGGACAGTGGCCGGCAACCTGGTATTTGCCTCTTTGGCTCCCTTGGTGTCACCGCTAGGATGTGCTTGATGAACGTCACTGACTCCATTTGCAAAGCAGGTTCTATTCCCCACCTACCCAAGCACAGCAGGGTCCTGAACTGCTGGTGGGCAGCCTGGCTTGGGAAGTTCTGCTGCTTCTCCCAGACATTAAGACCAAGCCCCAGGTCCCACTTCCACATCTCCAGACGCAGGACAGCCCTGTTGGTTTTTGACAGCTGGAAGCCCTTATCAATGATCTGTGTAGACCCCAAGACTTCAGGCCACACCAGGCAAGCCACCGCCTACTTGCAGAGAGCAAGTAGGTGGAATCTGCCAACCTCAGGCAATGGATTTTTGATTGACTTCCTGCTAAGGCTATCTAGCCATTTCTGGGAGATAAAAGCAGGAAACTATTCTCTGCTTTATAGAGAATACCGGCTAGCTGAGACTTAGTGGATGTGGTTGCTCTAGAATAAAGGGGACCAAAGGTGGGCAAGACTTCTCCTTCAACCACTGAGCCAGGCTGGCCGGGCAGGAGGGGCTTTATTATTTCCATTTTACAGATGAGGAAACTGAGGCATAGCAAGATCAAGTAACTTTCACCATGTTACACGTGTGCAGAGGCAGGTGTTCATGTCAAAAGAGATTGATTTTAGCCTGCTCCTTCCCCTCCCCTTGGGTTTCCCCTTCTTCCCCTGTCCCCTCAGGGCCACCCCAGAGGCTGGCTTAGCTCCTGCCCCCAGCTCCTGGAGGCCATAAGCTTAGCACTACAAGCCTGGGAACTTCTTCCCACCCAGATTGGTGACTTCCTTACCCAGGGCTCCCAGGCCCAACCCAGGAAGCTCCCTCCCAGCCCTCCCTTCAGTGAGCCCCAGGGCCTATGGAAGTAGTCTTGGCTGGGCACCAGGAAGACTCGTCCAAGTGTGATTGGCCCTTTCAAACGGCGGCCTCGTCTTGCTTCCTGCGGGGCTGAGAGCCAGGAGGCCCCACGCGGTGGCTCAGGCCCAGACACGTGAGGCCCTTTCCCCTCCCGCTGCCCCAGGCATGCTGACTCAGAGCCTGGCAGCTGCGGTTGCCACCCCCTCCCAGCGGAGGGTGTGCGTGCAATGTGGGCTGGGTGGGGCAGAGGCAATCCCCGA